AAAAATAACTACTCTAATAATCTCTCNCTCTCTCTCTCTCTCTCTCTCTCTCGCGTGTTTCGCTCATGCAGCGTAGCTGGTTGGCATAATTTACAAACGCAGTGAAAGTGCACACAATCTGTGACGCGTTAATGAATGAAACCATCCTTCTACTGGAATGCCTTCCTTCGAACGAGTTTCTTTTTTATTATTATTATTATTATTATTATTATTTATTAGCGGAATAGATGAGATAGAGATAATGCGTGTAACGCAAAGATTGATATAATGCGGCGAATGCTTAATTTGATTAAACGACTTATTAAAAAAGATGAATAGACTCGTGTATTCCATTGGCATGTATTATCATCTTATTGGCACAATTGAAATAACCAAGCGATATTCTCTCGAGTATTCCTCGAGTAAAGTCGAAGAGACTTTTATCAGGCACATTTATCACAAAATCTTTCGATATTTCGCGGATCGGATAATCAGGCCATTATTGAATAAATAATAATCGTATCTATTTTCCAATGCTAGTTAGTTAATCTGCTCGTTGTTGTAAGTAAGAGGATTAACGTGCGAGGATTATTAGTAAGAGGAAAGGATATTTCCAATTAGAAAATAATAAATGAAAAACCTCGAAATAAATCATGAATGTATGTAATAGATTACGACTTATAACTCACAACACAAGCGAGCACAGTAAAAAAATTTAATTCACGGCCACGAGTGTGCCAGATAGCGTCATGAAAATTTTTATTCAATTTATCTAACGACTCCGTTATGTATATTCATATTTTTTATTGCGCTATCACGAAATGCGGAGAACTTTGGTTTCGCTTCAAACTTGTGCACGATTCTACGTCACGAGAAATCAACGACAGAATCGACATTTCTTTCTTTCCTTTTTTTTTTTTTCAAATTTTTATTCCCCTCATCCATTTTTCTTTGTTGCTTCGTTCGACAAGGTTCCAAGAATTTACGCAAACGCATCCGCGATTACGCGAATCACAAAGCGGAAACGGTGTATTTTCGAATCAATAATTACTTCTCGCATCTTCTTGAATTGGAATAATGATGGGTATGGGAACGAGTGGAACAGCCTCCTGTCCGTGTTCAAGGCACGCTACTCGATTCGACGATCGGAGAGTGCGAATCGCATCGTATCGAGAGAAGCATCCTCGCGCAAATTTATTAATCGATCGTCGCCGACTTTAATCTCGTCGCGATTCGCGCTCGAATAATCGTTGGAACGGAAGAGAAATCGATGGATAAATAAGCTTTATTGGCCGATTCCACGCTTCAATCTCCTAATTGAAACCGATACAAACCTCTCTCTCTCTCTATCCCCCTCCTCCCCTTAATTTCGAGAAAAATTGACAGATAAATCAGCCATTTTTATCTCGATTCCGCGCTGCTATTATACGTAGAAACTGATAGAAAATGAACCGTGTACGCGTCGAATAAACGAACGCAATCCGATCAATTTCAAGAGCTTTGATATCAAAGGAGGAAAAAAAAAAAAAAAAAAAAGGAAATTATTTCGTTTCGTTTTCAAAGAGGGGCGCGATTTAAATCCCCGTTTAACGTACAACCGGTAATTTACTCGCTGGAAATTAGAAATACACGGGCGTATGTATGCTTTTGTATGTTCTCTTCCCTCCCCCCCTCAGTTGGCCGTGTAGCCAGAAACTCGTTTGTACGGGGCCGGAAATAAAGGTTTTGGTCCCGTGTATCGATATCGTCGGATTATCGATAGGACACCGTACGTAGTCGAGTGATCGACTTTCGTTCTTGGTAGGAGAAAAGCAATCCGCGCGGTTCATTGTTCCGTTTCCCCGCAATGGATCCCGGAGCAGCACGCGACAGAGTGAAGCGCATTTCCGGTTGCCGGTGTATCCGCGCACACGCTCTTGTTACGCTCTTCAAATATTTGTTCTGCCCTCCCGACTATATATCAACGATCGGTTTCCCTCGTTCAATCTTGATTTATGGATCGCGGCTTCGCTTTTCCGAGTGCTTCTCGTCATCGATCTTTTTCCACCTGACGTTTTCGAAATTCCCTCCCTCCCTCCCTCCCTCGAAAGTCGGCCACGTAAGCCGGAAAACCTGTTCCAACGAATCTCCCTTTTCTTATTATTCGGCGAACAAAGCGCTTTGAATGAGAGAGACGACAAAGCCGCAATATTTTCGGATATACGACGATCAGATTATACATCGCGAAATAAAACTTCTGGACTCGAGCGTCGAGGCCATCTTTATTTGAGACGTTGTATCGATTTTTTGGAAAATAATTTATAAAACGGAATCTGCTTGCTTCGAAAATATCTTCAAAGAAACTTTCGATTAACAAAAATATGTATATATTGAAATATCGTATCTTTTTTTTCAGATCTACACCGTTCTCGCGTGGAAAATGAGGGTCGACCAGATCGGGCTTCTCTTATGGAAGAATTACGTCGTCCGGAAACGTCAACCGGTAATTGTGTCAAGCTTGGAACGAGACTCGTTCGAAATTGTTTAGAGTAGGAAATCTCGTTTTGGTTAAAAGCGCATGAACGAAAACTTGGATGTTTAGGGCATACTGGCTCTGGTATTCGTATGGCCGGTGGCAGTGTTCATGATCCTCTACACGATTCGCGACAATGTGGATCCGAAATACTATCCAACTTGCCAATTTCCTGCGAGGTCGATGCCGCAGAACGGGCTGCTCCCGTTCGTTCAGAGCTTCGTTTGCAGCATTGGAAACCCCTGCGATCCCTTATCGGAATACGAAGAAGTTCCTTCTTACAAAAACGCCACGTTAGTCTTCAACGATTAATTTTTTTTTTTTTTTTTTCCCTTGTATCGATATAATTCTTTTCTTTCCTCTCACTCAAAAATTTTTCACGCATTGGAGAATTTTATTTTCGACGATCCAGTCTAGGTCCACTGGTGGCTGAGCTGCAGCCCATGCTTGGCAACAAAACGATTCTTTCCGCGATCGATACGTTGCCGAACAGCATCCAACTCCTCAAATCAATGGCGCAGATACTCACCAGGCCGGAAATCAAAGCGCTGTTCGGTACGAGTAACACCTCAACAACCTCGTTTACTTTCGCGAATTACCGTCGAGTTTACAACGAATTTCTTCTGTCGAATTTGTCGATCCAGATCGGGGCGTTCGGTTGGGCGATCTGTTCCACAACCAGCAGGAAATCAAGAATCTTCTCAGGCTTCAGATGCCGTACGCCCGGGAGGGATTGATCGACCAATTGTTCGACTCGTCCATAAAATTGCTATACGTCAGTATATTATATCCGTCTCTCGGTTGCGAGTTTCGATCGATTCGAAACGACGATCGTCTGATCGAAGGTTGGTCGATTTTCAGCTGATCGAGGCGTTCGGTTCGTCCAATATCGACGGGGTGATCTGCTCCTCGGAAAGTTTAAAGAAGTATCTGATTCTGCCGAGGGACGAGGACTACGGGCAGATTTCCAAGATACTTTGCGGGATCGACTCGAGCATGATACCCAACATACTCGAGAATTTAGCCAAGCACCTTGATTTCTTCGGCTTGTTGGAGATGGTTGACCGGGTAATGGCGAAATTTCGCGATTACGATTTTTTCGAGGACTTGAAGAGAGCGGTCGAAACGATCCTCGATCTTCATACCGTGGACAAGTATATCCCATCGTACTTGAAGATACGGCAATGGATGCCAAAGATGATAACGGTGTTCAAGAACGTCACGTTCAAACAGATCGATCTGACTTTGTGAGTGATTTCGATCGAGAAAATTTCGGGCGAAATTTTTTTATTATTATCGTTGCGAGAAATAACACGTGATTTTCCAATCTAATTCTAGCGTGAATAAATCGCTTCGAATTTTGGACCCGTTATTCTCGAAGGAACGCGATTGGTCCACCGTGCGCCCGATGTTCTTGAGATTGCAAAAGTTACTGGAGCTGGCGAAGGGCATGGCCGAGGATCGAACCGTCGAGTCCACCGAGACTTTTTTCACGATAGCGCAACGTTTGTCCAACACGATTCGATCCGCGTTGGACGTGGCCAACACCGAGAATCTCACTCAAATTTTGGATTTGAGCGTAGCCGTTTTGCACGATGGCGCCAGACTGACGCAAAAGATTTTGGACCGTCACATCGACGACATCCAACTGTGAGATTTTCCTTCCGTTTCCTTCCTCCTCGAAACGATACTTTTTTCTTTTTTTTTCTTTTTTTTTTTCAAAAGTATCGATTTTTCTTTGCAGTCCGACCGAGATATTGGACGGGGTCAGGGATTTTTTATCGGACAACGTCTTGGCCACGTTGAGCTACATCTTGTCCTCCATGAACTCGATCGTGAGAATGTTGTATCAAGCAGCCATCGTTCACGAGGACGTTCAACGAAGAATTTACGATATCTCCACGAAACGTCACAGGGACACGGTGCAAAAATTGTTGACGAACGTCGATCCAAATTTTTATCGAACGTTCGTCAAGTCGTTCTCCAGATTAAATTTCTTAGAGGTTCGCTTCCTTTCCTTTCGAAATCTAATTTCGCTCGGATAGATCGCCTTGGATCAAACGCCTGTTGTTGCGCCCATTTTCCAGAAATTCGTGAACGAAGTTAAGCGCACGAGTCCCGAGGAGTTCTTTTGTCAGGAGGAGACGCTGAACGAAATTTTCGATCTCTTCAAACACGGCAAAAACGAATCTAGACACATCGAGGAACTGCTGTGCAGCGATACGGGGAAGAAGTTTATCTCGGACGTATACGGAAGTTTGGAGTTGAGAAACTTTGAGAGCATAGTAAGCGTTCGATGGAAATAATTTTTTGAGAAACGTGCCTCGACGTTCTCGAACGTTCTCGTTGTAGGTGGACGATTCTTTGTACACGGTCGTCAATATGGCGTTCCACAAAGTGGTCACGGTCGAGAGATCAAACTTGACTTCCCTCGTGGCCAACACGAAAAAATTGGTCTCGTATCTGAAATCGCCGAAAAGATCGAATCCCGACTGGACCGTTTTCAAATTTAGCCAAAGGTGGCGCGAGACTTTCGAGGAGACTCAGCCACAAGCGAGATTGAACATGTGAGCGATCATAGATTATATCTCTTTCTTCCCGTTCTCGCGAGAATAACGAAACGAGAGCGTAAGAGCCGCTCACCATCCTCTCTCTCTCTCTCTCTCTTCAGCCTAGGGATCCACTTGAGCATAGCGAAAATGATTGGATCGCGCAGTCTATCTTACGTGACCATTGAATCCGATCTGGAGAAGATGGACATACTCGCCGAGATAATTCTTCAAGATTTAAAGGAGAATCCTACGAGTTGGATCGAGGAGGTTAGACGGAGGAAGATGCAATTGATCGAGTCGTTCTACTTAACCGTAACGGATAAAGACAAGGTCGGTGATACTCGATATTCCAATTCTTTTTTTTCTTTTTAACGCTGTTTACATCGGCGAGCGAACTCTCTTCTCCCCTTTTCTTTCGCAGGCTTTGAAAATTTTGGAATACGACAATTTCACGAGGAGCTACTGCACCGATCCTCACCCACCGGATTTATTGAATTTTCCGAAAGATTCGAATCGGACGGTGTTGAAGGGGCTCGTCTGTCGCATCTCGGAATCCGTGCAAACCGACTTGGAATTAAACGTGACGAAGATCAAGAGCAGGGAGGAGATTCGTTACAGGGACAGAGAGTCGTTCAATTGGACCGATTTCAACGCGAGGATTGTCGAGATTTATCGTTACATCGACACGTTGGTCCACCAAGAGGACGCGGATTACGATTTGGCTCGGTTGGAAAAGTTGAAAGAAGATTTTCAAACGTCCTGGACGATTGATATCGGCGTCAAAGACGTATTCGAGATGAGGTACGCGATGGCAATAACGCCCCTCTCCTTTCCCTCCGTTCTCCATTCTCAAATTGCAGATATTTACTTCGGTGACACGTTATATCTCTCTGCAGCGTAGGTTTGATCTGCAAATTCTTCAACCTGATGGAGAGCCCTCTTTTCCGCGCGAAAGGCGGATGGAAGGAGATGCACGCGATCGCGTGGGCGTCCACGGTCATCTTTGACAACGTGGAGAAGATCGTCGATCAAATTCAGAGGAACGGGAATCTGGTGAAACTCTCCCAAGTGCTGGAGGACATGCCGCAGACGGAAATTCTTTTAACGGCCATCCTGCAAAATTTGTCCCCTCTGGTTCTCGATGTGGTCGACATCATAACCATGAAACCCATCCATCTCGTAAGTCTTTTTTTTTCCATCGCTTCGTTTATTATATTATAAGCCACTCAATGAAATTTTCCTCTCGAATCTCCTTTCTTCTCGCCCAGATATCAATTCTGGACGATTACAAATCGCGGGAGGAACAATGGCCGTGCATACAAAGGGAAAGCGTCGGTGCCGCGATGGAACTGCGATCCGGCACCCGTGAGATAATAAGAGAGATCGAGAGGATATCGTGCAATCCAACTTTGTTATTCAAGAATGGAGGGAACAACCGGTGTTGACGAGGGCGAAGAAAATAGCGAGTATCTTTATCGAACGGAATCTTTGTTGCGTTGGATTTTCGCACGTAGGTCGACAACCTTTTCGCGTACGTTTCCAGTTTCAGAACGACGACACGATACGTTCCCCGCCTTTCAATTGGACTTCGGGTTACATAAAATTTCGTCAATTGGCCAAGAAGCTGGACGATCTGGTCAACGACGTGAAAAAGGTTGTTCTCGTGGAGCAGCCGACTTTCTGGGACGATTTGGAGTTTCTCGTGCCCGGGGTTAAGAGCATATTCGACAAGAGGTGGCCAGACATGAAAAACGATTCCAGGTTGGAGGAATCATCGATAGAAAAGAGGGGAAGAGAAAAGTTTTTGTAGTGTTAATTTGTTCAATCTGTTTAGAGGCATCCTGGACTACGTTGATCTGGAATTGGACAAGACGGTGGCGGCGTTTCAAAGCTCTCTTTCAGCCAGCGAGGTTTGGAATTCGAACGTCTCGGTCGAAAATCGCGTTCTCATTTTAGCCAAATATACCGCGCACGTTGTTCACAATACAGCGAGGACAGCGAGCGGAATTTTGCACGACGGTAAATCATTTCGAAACGGATGATTTCTTAAAAACGAAATATCTCGTTCGTTTATTTCTTGCTTTGCTTTGCTTCCAGTTTTGCAATCTCCAACCGTGAGCTTGCTCCCCTTGATAGGATTCGACAGCAGCACAGCCATTTCGATCTATTACAAGAAGCTGCCCTACATTTTGGCCTCGATCATCTACGGATTGACGGATCCAGAAGTGTATAATCGTATAACGAAATCGGAGATGGAGGACACGGCGATCACTTGTTCCAAATTGTTCGAGTGGTGGTCCGACTCCATAATCGGCCTCACCCCCATGGAGTACAGAGTCTTGGAGAGATTCACCTGCGATCTTAATCCGGATAACTTCAACGTTTACACCGATTTGTACATGAACGAGGCGCTTGCGTGGAAAAAATCTGCCAACAGATACAATTCTTACGTGACCACCGTGATCGGTGACGCGTACGATTTCGCGTCCGATGTTTGGAAGATGATTCGAGATAAGAAGGAGATGGTATTCGAGGCGCCGTTTTCCACGCAATATCTATCGACCACGCTTCGGAAATTGAAGGAGATTCTGGAATATATCGACGATAACGTTCGCAAGGTGAATCGATCGTTGCGTTTCTCCAATTTTATATATATATATATTTTTATTCGCGATTCTTTTCAGGACGTAAAAAAGAGCAATTACAAGCTGCTCGTGGAAGGGATCGCCGAGGTTTTGGAGCACGTGACGAATGCTATAAAAAGTATTAACTCGAGGAACGGCGAGATCGACATATGGGACTTCGTGGAGAGCGGTGACGGGCGCCAATTGTTGAGAATCCTCGACAATCATCCCGAGGAAACGATCACTTTGGTGGCCACCCTTAGCACCCTGAACGCGACTACAGGCGGTTTAATGGGTTACGGGGATGTGAGGAAAACAATGTGCAATTTTCGATTTAACTCCAGCTACTGGTCCACCCCTAACAGGACTCGATTCATAAAGGAAATATGCTCGTTCGACCCTTACCAATTGTTGAGGAGCACCACCAGCGCGGAATATTACGTGAGTAGAGCTGGAAAATCGTAGAAATGCGATATATACGCACACCTTTTCGTTATCTTGAAATAACTTTCGAGAACAGTCTCTGGTGACGAACAGCGAAGTGACCACGATGTTGAAAGTAACGAGGTTGTGCTCCTCGGTCGCCAAACTGTTGGACGCTGCGTTAAGCCTGGAGGCGAGGGAGGGTCCGAATTTGTCGATAAGATCGAAAATTTTCAACTCGACCACGTGGAGGAATCTCTCGAACGAGACTTGGTCGGCCGTGAGCAAGGCGGGGCAAAGCTGGATACGCAAGTACGCGATAAGAGCTAAGGATAACGCGTCGTCGATGGAGGCGGACCCGATCGCGAAACTGATCAGAGCGTATCAACTGGTGGACGTGGCGATCGAGTTGATGGGAGGGGGTGACGTTTGGCAAAAGCTCAGGGTCGCGTACGAGAACTCGAAGGTGAAGCCTGTCCTCACTCTGATCGAAGACATGCCGAATCTGGTGGTGAGCGGTGTTGACACTTTCGTCAAGTCGGAGAGATTGAACGATTTCGTGGAGAAATTGTCGGTTGGCAAGCTGCACCCGTGCGACATCGACAAATATTTGATCGTGCCCAGTTTCGTGAGGAAGAAGGTCGTGTTGTCGAGCGTCACCAACTTCTGCCAAAAGATCGTTCTCACGGACGGGCGGCTGACTTTGATCGATATATTGCCTCTCGACGCCAAGTACGAGGTACGCGAGGTAACGTTCCAACAACAGCAACGTGCACGTTGGGAGGAGCGTGAATAACGCGTAATAAGGTCGTGTCGTTGTACAACTTTTCGCAGGAAAGTTTAACAGGGAGAAAGAGGAGGCCGGCGGATCGCGACGAGACGTATCTCGTGGAGAAATTGGAGCACGCTCGTTCCACGATAATCCGAGTGGTCTCGGAAGGTTTCAAGGATCCGAAGATACCAACGTGGTGGACCTCGTTCAAGGAGGGGACGTTCAACGACTTTTTATCCCAGTATAAGAAGGAGGTGAAATTTTTCGAAATTTGAAATTCGCGATTCGCGTCGTGGCGAAGGATTCACGAGGAGAAAATTATTGTTGTCCAGGATCCGAGGGCGCTCGCTCACTTGGTGGTGAAAAAAGTCTCCGCGATCGCCAGAAACGTTCTGAATTCCAGCGGGAATACCGAGTAAGCTGTCCGTTAACATCCGCGGAATTTGTTTATTAACTCTGGCCCCCGTTTATTAGAAAAGTTTCTTTCAGAAATTGTTCTTGGTGCGTCACGTTCCCCCTTGAAATTTTAAACTCCCAACTGGTCAACCATCAACTCTACGCGAAGCTGCTCTGCCAGTTGACACGACTGAACGTGACGGAGATTCACGACATTTTGACGCGTGACTTTTATTGGAACAAAACCTCGAGCATGGTAATGCGCGTTCCTCGAACACCGTCGTATATCGAGTACACGCGCCTAATCTCGAATCTGTCTGAATCCAGGTGAAGAATTACAAATATTTAAGCGTGGAACGAACGAGAGACGAGTTCGTAACAACGTTGGAGACCACGTTTCATTACGTGGCCGATATAATGGTGAATTTCGGGAACGAGACCTACAGAGGGAGGATGGAGGAATGCTTTGACAAATTGGTGGGGAGACCCGCCTATTCCAGACCCGGCCTGTAAGTGTCTCTCTCTCTCTCTCGAATCTTAATCGAACCACTATTCGTGAAAGAAAAAAAAAAAAAGAAGAGAGAGAAAGATGAAACGAAGCATGATTTCGTAGATACGTGACCATGATTCTCGGCATGTTGGACTCTCTGCGGAAGAATCCGTTCGTCCTGGACACGGGGCGGAATCACAAGAGCATGGACGCGTTGTCGAGGGCGGCGGAGAAGTACGTGCCGATCTGGAAGCCGTTGCGCGAGGTGGTGAAGGCGTCGGTGGCGGAGGACGTGGAGAAGTTTTTACCGGGCGCGACGATCAACGCGAACTCGGTGCTGAACGACAGGAACGATTCTCTGTGCCGTACGAAGGCCGAGTGTCGGAACGGGACGGTTTTGTACAACTACCTGAGCTCGAGGAAAGCGGGGAAAGCGTTCAAGTACGACGCGTCGAGCAACCGTTCCCTCATGGAGATCGCCGATCGATTGTCCAAGAGTCTGGATCTGGAGCGGATCGATAGCGAGTCGAGGCAGTGGCGGATGGACGCCTCGTGGAATTTAACTTGGCTGAGGGAGATCCTGGCCCACTTGTCGATCGTTATCGGGGAGGGCGGCAATCTTCTCGACGTCGCCAGTAAAATAGACTTCCAAGACGTCTCGGACGTCCTAGGAGTTCCCGATATCGTCGATGGTGTGGTTAATATCCTGAAGGATAAGACGGTGGACAAGCTTTTCGATGGGTAAGAATGGATCTCTTCGATCGGGCGGACGAGATTAGAGGCGAGACATCGAGTGACCCGAGTTGTCACGCGGACCTTCCTCTCTTCTTCGTTTTCGCGTGTGCTGGACTGTTGCTATATATATATATGTGTGTGTGTGTGTGTGTGTGTATATGTAATTCTCTTGTGCTTTTTCTTTTTCCCTTAGAATGAAGGAAATAGTGGAAGATATTAAACCGTTCGTCGAAGATCGAAACGCGTTGGACGATATTTATCGGATAATTGCCGCTCTAGAGTCGATGGACATCTTCAAGAATTTGGGATTACTCGAAATGAAATGTATGATTTCACGCCGTGTTTCCTTCCGAGACGAGACTTGTCGCGACGTTTCGTTCGATATTTTTATTTTTCAGACGTTATCAGAGACATGTTCGACAACTGGGACGTGGTGAAATCGTATTTGGTGGATAAGATTGGAATTTCCAACGACGTCGCGCTGTTGCTGAGCCAAGCCAAGATAGACATGATTTCCGTTTTCATGAAAGAAAGAAGAGTTCTCAGTTTCAAGGAGATCATTTGCTCGCCGAAAAAACTCGACGATATATTAAATTTCATCGATGATCGAATCACCGCCGAGGAGGTGAGCGCCGCACTCTGCCAACTCGAGGATTCGCAGACCAAGAACGTGACCACCACGTTGATCAAGAATTTAAATTTTCAAGACGTGTTCAAAACTGTGAGTAACCCTTTCGATCGACCGATCGAAATCGAATCTTCCTCTCTTCCCATCCGTATTTCCAGCTGATGAGCGCCAATGTGAAAAGTATATTGGCCAACGCGAATTTGACGGAAGCCGAGGGGAAAATGGTGTTGGATAATCTCGGAGTAGCGGCGGAGTTGCTCCCATTCTTCAAGGACAAACTTTCCTCGCAAACGCCTACGTCCGAAGCTTTGGAAACAGATGCGCAGCAGACGGATCAAACGGTCTCCAGTGAGTTATATGCAATATTCACGGATGAAATTAGTTTTAACGTTTAATGTTCAAATGCGTTTTCGCAGCCTCCAAGTTCCTTCAAGATTCGAGTATGATGCTGTGCGGCCAACCGATGGTCTCCGATAACGGCGATTTGTACAAAATTATTTCACGGATCGAGGACAACAGCAAGGACTTTGACAAAGTTGAACTCGATTCCTTACCCAGTACGTGTACAACGAAGCAATCGGTGCAACGAAAAAGAAAAAAAGAGATGATTAATTTTTTGAAACTCTCGTGAAACTTGGTTAAATTTCAAATTTGTTTCTCAGCCGATTTTTGCAGAAACGCTTACAAGGGTATGGTGGCGATGGGAGGTGGAAAGATCATATGGTCTTACGTGAAACCTTTGCTGCGGGGCCGAATCCTTTATGCTCCCAATACCACGGTAATCAACGGCGTGATGAAATTAGCGAACAAAACTTTCGTGGAGATGGAACAATTTGGCGCGTTGATGGGTAATCTCGAGAAAACGTTGACCTCGTTGGCCAATCTTTCCGACATGAGCGACAATCTGAGGGAGCTTCAAGACATACTGTCCTCGGATATTATAAAGATCGCGATCAAATCGTACGGCGGGGGTAATTTCGAAGGTACGTAAAATAATAAACGGAACGAAACGCTCGTTCGTTCCCATTTTTTTCTCTCGAATGCTTCTCTCTCTAAAACACGCCTATTCCCAGGAGATTTTGCCGATACGAATCTGAGCGAGATTTCGTGGCGACTCAAAAGGTCCAAGCGTTTGATAACTATGGTCGGTATGCTGAATGATTTATTGGAGTGCGTGCTCGTGGATCGAGTAAGAGGATTTCGGTCGGAGGAGGAGATGGAAGCGGAAGCACGGATCCTGATGGAGACACGGGAATTTTTAGCCGGTGTTGTCTTTTTGGATAAACCCTCGAAGAGGTCCACCGAGTCTTTGGACCGTGAACTGCCCGAGAACGTGGTGTACAAAATTCGAATGGACGTGGATTACGTGCAGTCCACCAAAAGGTTAAAAAATCAGTTCTGGACACCCGGGCCGGAGAGCAGTTTCATAGAGAATTTGAGATATTTGCGAGGATTCGTGCAGCTTCAGGATTCTATCGATCGAGCGATCGTGAGAATGAAAACTCGAAAGGATCAAAATTGGAAGACCGTGACGCAACAGATGCCGTATCCCTGCTGGAAAGACGTGCCGTGAGTCAACCATCATCGTTCCTCCTCCTCCTCTTTTTTTCTTTTTTTCGCCCACGTTTCTAATCGAATAATTTTGATATTTCGATCCAGTTTTCAAACTACCCTCTACGAGTCGCAAGGTATTCAAGTGGGTTTTTTCTTCGCGCTGATGATGTGCGTCGGGGCAGCTGTGAGGCACATAGTCTGGGAGAAGGAATCTCAAAACGCGATGGTGATGAGCGTGATGGGATTGAAACCATGGAGGAACACTGTGGCCTGGTCCATCACCACGTTTATAGAACTGTTGATCGTGATGTTCTCCATAGCCACGATCCTGCTTGCCGGAAAAATCCTACCAAAATCCGATCCCTCCTTGTTCCTCGTCATGATAATCGATTACGCCTTCTCCATCGTAACTTTTTGGTAAGCCTTTGATTTCTATTAATTCGCCTCTTTCTCCCCTTCTATCGAAATATTTCGAACAAATTTTCAGCTACATGATCTCGACGATGTGCAGCTCGGCAAGCCTGGCTGCGATCACCACCGTGGTTATGTTCTTGCTGACGTTCATGCCATACGTCATTGTCATCGCTATGGAGGCCGTTATTGGTCTCGGTTATAAGCTTCTCATCGTAAGTTATCATCACCTAGCGTTGGCAACAGCATTTTCGTGACAAATAACGCGCGGCTCGCGGTACGCGTTAGGCGCGCTTCCCCATAAAACCGCCATTTTCTATAATGTTATGTTAATGCCTTCGTCCCCTTCTCCCTTCCAGGAGAAGCAAACGATTTATCAAACTCTCTTTTCTCCCCTTCCCTCAGTGTCTCAGCATGTCGACCAGCTTTTGTTACGGTTGCCTGTACGCGGCCAGGAAGGAGGTTCAAGGCGTTGGGCTAACTTGGTCCGCGATGTGGGAGGAATCCAGCCCGGGCGATTCCATGTCCTTGGGTTTGATCCTGTTGACCATAGCCTTCGACGGTTTCCTTTACGCCGTTATCGGTTACCTCGTCGCAAGATACACGAATTCAGGTAGAAAAACTTTAAAACTCCAACTCGCCTACCGACTTTTAGAATTCTAGTAGAATCGATTTTTCAATTACGTTTGGTGGAGGTATCGAGAGCTTGAAGAATCTTTTACGATTTACTCTGTTCTCCGACGTTTTA